ATGAATACCCCCTTAATGAATAGTCATTCTGCATTTCTTTAATAAAATTGAAATCCATGTAAACCAAAGTAGATCATGCGACTTATTAATAACTTCTTTCTTTTTCTTGATGTCTGCAGAGATTGGGATGGGACTGACGGGGTTTGGTGTGTTTTTCCTCTTCTTTGGGATGATGCTGTTTTTTGATAAAGCTCTCCTTGCCATTGGAAATGTGAGTTGATGGTTTTTGGGTTCATTGATATATCAGAGTAGTACCTGTATTGTTGATTGCCATTTGGCTGTTGGTCCATATGATCACATTTGCTGATGTGAGTGGAAGTTGATCTTTTCTTTGCTGCTCTAGAGCAGGGCAGTAAAAAGGAAACAGATGTTAAAAATGAATGTTTATATCGGGTAAATTATTAGATTAAAAATTGCTGTGAGCACAGAACCTACCTAGTAATTATAACACAGTGTGAAAGTCTATCCTATATAACCTAAAAGATCTTGGACCCGTGACATGTTGTTTCCTGTGCAGATTCTATTTGTCTCCGGACTGTCGTTCGTCATCGGCCTCGAGCGTACCTTCAGGTTTTCTTCCAGAGGCACAAACTAAAAGCCACCAGCTTCTTCCTGGGAGGAGTGTTGGTGGGTTCTGCTTGGCTGGCCGATTGTTGGGGGTTGTTCTGGAGATCTACGGTTTCTTCCTCTTATTCAGGTCAGCTCAGTCAGAAAGGGCTGAACTCCTTTTCCTCTTCTTCCTCGTTTGGCTGCTCCCTATTAGGGGTTGCCACGGTGGATCATCTACCCGAATCTCTCCCTATACCTAACGTCCTTTGTCACCTCAATCCCTCTGCATGTCCTCCTTCACTATATCCATGAACCTCTTCTGCCGTCTTCCCTCTTTCCTCCTGCCTGGCACCTCCATATTCAACACTGTCCACTATCTCTCCTCTGCACATGTCCAAAACAATTTCCAAGTCTCACTTTATTCTTGCACTCGTTAACAGGGGATTCTTCCCGGTGGCAGTCGGATTCATCAGACGAGTGCCTGTGCTCGGATCTTTGCTCAGCTTACCGGGGATCAGTGCGGTAAGTGTCACTCTCAGGCACTTTAACCTTAATAAGGGTCACTAATCACAAATATTGTTTAGCTTTATAAGGCTTTCAATGACATTTGTCTGCAGGACTAACAGTAAATAAACACTGTCTGAATTTGATGAAACTTTGTGGAGAGGAAGATTCCACTAATCTTTGATGCAGTAATAATAAAAGTTGGTCATGGTGGAGAAGGTGCTCTCTGAGTGCACCTGCAGTTTTCTTTTATGCAAGCCTCTCTGGTTGCAGTAAGAAGTCAGATTCTATAGAAGTGCATGAGAAAATGGCTTCTGGCTCTCCTGCTTAGGTTATGGTCTCAGTTGCTACTTTCAGGTTTCATTAAATACAACATGATGTCCACTGTGTACATGAGATTCCAGCTGTAGTTGAAATAGCAGGGTACGCCACCTACATTGTGGCCGAGTCACTCAGACTCATGGTCTGATCCGCACCTTGCATCTATTTAAGCTCAAGGCCTGGAAGCAGAATTTTGCTAATCAAAGGGTGTCACGGTGGCCGCCTCCATCTTTTAAATACAGTCTTTGGCAGACATGGAAAAATCTGGTATTTGCAGCCCGTTGTCTAAAAAGTCATGCAAGTATAATTATACGAATACTAAACTATCTTGTTTCATTTGTGCTAAACAAAATTCAGTTTACCACCATATATGACTAAAATACATCATTTAAAGTCTTGCATTTGAGAAGCTGGAACCAGGGATTTGTTTTCTTTATTCGTATTTGAATAATGTTAAGTACAAAGAATTGATTATCAAAATATTTGGGGATTAGTTCTCTAAGCTAAACATGAACTTTTTCCATTAGATGATACAAATGGCATTTACGGCAAAAAGCAGCTGAAAGTTTTTAAAGAAGCTGATATTACTTTGTTGATCTATGTGGGCTTTAAAGATTTTTAGAGTGAAATGGCTCCAAAAGCTGGGGAAGGTTTTTTAGATAAGAGGGCTCTGGTCTTTCTCTCATGTAGTCTAATAACAGGGTCCCTGTTGTCCTGAGCACGACCTCATGGGATTCCCCGCTCAGTCTCGTGTCTTTGAAGCCTTTTGTAGCTTCTTGGAAACCGTCAGCGTCCAGGATCAGTTAATTCGGCCGTGGTCGCTAATATTTTACAGCTGTTTACCAATATAAAAACCTCACTGCATTATCAACATCATCATCCTTGCATGTTCTGCTTCATACATGTTATTTTAAATCATCCTTCGCATAACAACTCGTAAATAATTCTGCCCTTTTTCATGTTTTATTTCAGCTGGTGGACAAAATTGGTGAGAGCAACACGATGGTATAACAAAGAGGACAGTTTCAGCGTTTCTTACCGTCTCATGGTGACTGTATATTTTGACCATTGCCATTCCAGAGCTGTGAATCCAAACATTACTCTGCACAAAAGACACACGCATCTGTGGATGTCTGACTGACTGTACATTTAATTCTATTAGAGGGAAACTGTTTCTGACTGCTACTGGAAAACATTACCAAGAGATCTTTTTTTTAAGGCTGAAAGCAGTTTCTCTTTTATGTCATTCCACTCTGATATTTATGGACTGATAATCTGGGACCACTGGATTAACTCGGAGGACAGTGACAGCATCTGTGTGCCTGAACAGACACTGAGGGCCTTTTTTTTCCCTCCATGAAGAGTTAGTGGAATTTTATACTTTAAAAAAAATGTGCAGTTGAGCTAAATGTGGCAGAAATGTAAAAACAGTTTATATTGTCCTGGATGGAGATATTTAACTGTAACTTTTCTAAGTGCTTGAAATAAAGTGTGCATTTTATAAATTTTGTTTTGTAGCGTAAGTAATTTAGATGTCCCAGATCTTACCTGCGTTTTGGGTAATAACAGTATGATTTGCTAAAAGAAGCCCAGCTCCATCTTCTATTCAGGGACTCTACTAGAAGAGCTTTACATGGTTCACCCATACTGGGCCTTGGTGAAGCTCCTCTAATGCACATGTCCTCTGAAACAAGCTGTTTTACCCTTTAATGCACAGGTGTTCAACTTCAGTCCTCGATGGCCGGTGTCCTGAAACTTTTCCATGTGTCCCTCTGCAGCACACCTGAATAAAATCAGTAGGTCATTAGACTTTATAGAACTTGACTGATGCTGAGGTGGCAATTCATCCATTTGATTCATGTTACAGCAGCTCATGACTAAATTAACATGGTACAATAAAAGTACTTTTAAAAGTAGTTTTTTTTTCTTCCAAAAACTTATATTTACTTACATTTATTTAAACTTCAGTATGGTTAGGTGTTGCCACCTGAGCATGTAGTCAAGTCTTGCTAATGACCTACTAATTTTATTCAGGTTGTTGCAGCAGGGACATATTTAGAAGAAGGCGGTTGGAGACTGTATGATCGTGTGTAGTAAACTAATCTCATTGTCTTGGTTGCTTCAGAGGCAGGGACCAAGTCTGCAACCACTTGTAGTCAGTTGCTGGATTCAAAGGTGGCAATACAACAGCATTAAATGGATTCAGTCTGCTATCAGTGTACGATTGAATGTGCTCAAGTTGGCATCCACATGCAATCTGTTTGTGATAATACGGTGGTTATACTCAATAATATATATAAGATTTACTAGCATAAATTTCCAAATTTGTTGCCATGTATATAAACAGAAGTCTAAACCATTTAGATTCAGAGTCCAGCTGAAAACTCATTGATTTGAAACAAATTCATCCAAAAACAGTGACGGTGTTGTTACAGGACAGGGATTTAACTATATAAGCAGCTGGAAACCAGTTGAGTCCTGTTACAGAGAGGCGTGTTGCAGATGAGTTGCGCTGATTGGCACAGACTGACTTGTTTAGATTGCAGTGTGTTGGCACTCTGCGTTTTTAATTGGTCGGCATTGTAAATATTCACCAATCTGCGTGAGACTGATTGCAGTTAGTCCGAGTGGCCCGCAGGTTGCCTCCCAACAGGCGACCTGTGCGGTCACTTTGTGATTCAAAGTGGTCACTCACTGGTTGAGGGTGCTGTACGGTCAACTTCTGATGGAAAGGTTGGTCATCAAACTGGTGTTTACTCTGATGAGTCTTAAGCCAGCTTTATATGACAACGTCAACCACTGTGAAATGATAATACGTTCCCTTTAAGCATTCACATATCAGAGATTAGATTTATAATTCAAAACAAATTAACTGTTTATACACAGTGTGTACAGGTCATAAACACAGAGATTTATGTATGTGTGAAATTTCTAAAACAGTTGAAACAAAAATAAATAAATTCAAGGTCCTCATGTCATCCAATGTCCTTCATGCTTTCAGCTGATCCAGGCTTCTGCTCCTCATGTCGAACCCACATTCTCAAACTTTGATACAAATCCATCATCTTCAAGCAAATGCACTGCATTCATAATAAAAGTGGAAGAAAAACTAATGATGGGTTACTTAAATATTTTTGCTAGAGCCCTTGGTAGAACAAACACATTTTATTTAACTACACTTATATTTGCCTTTGAAATAAACACATTAATTGCCATGTTGTGATAGTAAAGGCCTAAATGTCTCTTAGAAAATGTTTGAGAGGTTAAAATGTATTAGTATGTGTATATTTTTAGCTCACCTGGCTGAAGGACCAATGCACTTAAGCCACGGCAAGACTTAAGTTCATCCATAGTTCACATTAATACAGTGCTGGTCTTATTTTAGCAAAGACCACCATTCACTTTAGTTTTATTACATAGCTGCAGTTCAAAACAACAGTTGCCCCAAGGCTTTATATTAAAGAGACAAAGACCCTGCAATATTACCAAGACACTTGAACAATCATATGACTCCGCCCCCTATGAGCAAGTAGTGCTCCTCACAATGATGACCGCAATTTGGGAGAAGACCTACTGAAGTCATGGACAAATCAGTTGTAGCCAATAAAATAGATTTGCAGATTACACAGGGCCCTTGAAGGACTAGAATTGTCTTATTCTGGCATCTGCACCTGCCACCTCATCACTGCTCACCGCATCAACTTCATTCATAAAATCTCACCGGCGTTGTCGTCCTGCAGTGACCCTGTGAAAATACTCTGCTGCTTGCAAGACTTAAAAGTTTGAGTGTCTCTCATGCGTCTGCGATTAATGTGCAGCGACATCTTTAACAGCACCGTCAGCTGAAGAAGTAGGTGTGAAGTGATTAAGACACCTGTCAGCGTCATCAGTTGTTTTTTTCTTACAAACGATGTGACTGCACTGACAGGGAAACATTAAACATTTAAACCAGCTGCAACCTGCAGGAGAGCACAACGCTTAAAGTAAAAGGTAAGATATCCCTCTTCTTAGTTATATATAATATTTTAATTTTCTTAAATGTGAAAAAATTAAGTAAATTAAACTTTTACTTTCTAAGTCTACCTTTTACTATTTATGAGCAAAATAAAATTTGTTTATAACACAATACAGCATAATAAATCATAAAGCTAATAAAGCACAGACAGAAAACATGTAACTATTGTCATTCAGTAGTAGTTAGTATAGTGAGGTGTTAGTACAATACAACAGCTCACAATTGTGTGTACAGGAGAAGTTTACTTGCTAAAAATACACGGGCAATTTCTTAAACCTGCTTACAGAGATTTATTATAGTGTGTTTACATTAGTAACATGTAACAAAGTCAGAATGCTATAAATTGAAGTAAAATAAAACACTATTAATGAAAATATGCTACAAATACTGTTATTATAAATACATTTTAACTGTAATGTACACAAACCGCAACTTACTGGTGTCCAACTGTAAATTTACTTGAAGGTAGTGGCTGTAATTTAATTTAAAGTACATTTACTGTAATAAAAATGACAGAAAATGTAATTTACTGTAAAGTTACTGCAAACATTTTACTGTAAATTACTGGCATCTAGATGCCGATGAGGTGCTTTAAAATTTGTTTACAGTGAGTTTACATCTAAACACAGAGAAATAGATGTGTGCTGGATGACTGTAATTAAACGTATACTTCTCAGAAAAACATTTTTCCCCCTCTTGTTCTGTTGCAGAGTTCAACAATGTCTCTGCTAGTCACGCTGCTTTTGCTGTCGCTGGTTTCTCAGTGTTGGACTGCTCCACAGGTTAGTCGGTATTTTTCTTTTGTCATGTTTAACCCTGATCAGCCTGAGCTGGAACAGAATTTTCTTTTCCCTTTTCAGAGGAGAAACTGGACTTCTCAGGCGATCCTATACCTGAAAGGAGCACGTAAGAACGCACTGACGGCAGCAAACAGTCACCCAGATTTTAGACGTCTATCAGATCGAAACAATATAGTGTGCTGATCTTTTACAGAGGGACGCCGCTCATTTTTGGAGCGTGCCAGAAGAGAGGAAGAAAGCACTTTTCACTCAGGTGTGTGAATACATGATGCAGCTCGAGTAGTGTAATCAGATAAACAAGTAAATATTCTGTGTAAGCTGACTAGTATTGTATTTGGCTCTTAGGAGCCTGTATTCATTTGTAAGAAATCATCCTTTGGAATAAGTTTGTACTTAATATTGTGGTAACTTTTTGTTTTAGTTTGTTTTTACTCACATTTATTGTATTTGTTAGTTTTTTAATGATTTACTTGATTTTATTCATTTTATTGATCTTGTTTGTTTTACACTAACTTGTAAAGCACTATGGTCGAGCTTGTTTGTTTTAAATGTACTCTAGAAATAAGGCTGATATTGTGATTTTGAACTGGTTACATTTTCTGAAACATTTACTAATGTTTCAGAAATCAGTCATTAATGAGAGCTTCTTCTTCTTCTTCTGCTTTTTAATCCTAGGCAGTTTTAAGAGTTTGTTAAATTTTTTAGTTTGCAGGTATTTTATTTCCATCAGAGTAAAAACTCCATGAATAAATTATTTTGCTATCATGTTTGAAGTGATGGCTTATTACCAGAGTTAGAAATCATAATAAATATTACATTTTATTATGTTTACTTACTAATTTTGTGTTCCTTGTTTTAACCCTTTAAAGCCTGAACAATGAAATAATTACCAGAAAATTAATTTTTTTAAAAAAAACAAAGTGTATTGTGGAATTTATTTAGATTTTAGACAATCCCCACTGATGATGTAGAAGTCTCAAAAACTGTATGTGTCAAATATGATACACGAGGCGTTAAGAGGGTGAAGTGCCACATATGTGATTTCATCAGCCTGATCCTGGGTGTTTATTTCCGAGGGTTTCATACGGAAGATAAAAAAGAGGAAATCTTAGTCTCCTCTTCACACAGCTATATTTGTATTTTGTTGGTTGCACAGTTTTTTGTTTCTTTTCCAAATACTGCCATTTCTGCTCCGATTCTCTGCAGGGACTCACAAGCAGAACAGCGATGGCCGAGGCTCTTCTTTGCTTTTATCCATTTTACTGGAACTCCTACAGCGAGCTGTAGAAGAAGGTAAAACCTTGGAATTCATCACCACCAACACCCTGACTTACCAGATCCTCCTGAACTGCTTTAAGATTATTTATGGCTCTTTTTTTTAATCCTCAGATGCAGGCAATCCAGATAATCACCTGGACTATCAGGAGGTGAATAGAACCCACTTGTGAACATTCATCAGAGCCCAGTTCTATGTTTTTCTGTTTCTTATGTTGCTTGTTACATTTTATTATTGTTGATGTTTGTCTGCGTGTCGCAAATTTGACTTAACTTATAATAAAATGCGCAAAATAAATGAAAATGTCCGTCTGCAAGATGTTAGAGTCTGATTTATGCGTGAGTTTATCTCTTCATTTGACTGTCATCATGTGCAGTTTGGTGGTGTGACGCATGGATGGATTTCCATTTACACTCATCCTTGTCAACTTATTAAAACAATTACGCCAGTCACTCATTCACACCATGAAGTGATTAACACCAGGATGACAAACTATCAGTCACTCATCATCGCGCCGTCTTCACAGCGGTCACTGAGAGAGCCGTGTCGGAGGTAGACGATCGGGATCAGACAGAGTTCATCGACTAATACATTCCAGTAAAATCACCATGAGCTTCCAGCAGGGTTTTAGGATTTATTTTATTGAACCATGTTGTTAGATCATAGGCCACATGTAACACTCTGCTCTTCACTTTCAGCAAAAGAGAAAGCCCATGTTCACAGATTTCTATCACGCTACATAAATAGCCAACACTGAAGAACTGAAACACTGCACTTATTGCTTTAGTCCCTGCTTCTTTTATTAGTTGCCAAAGCAACATGACACGTGGTCCCACAGTGCAACACAGCAAAGGACAAATGAGTCAGAGCATCTCACTCATTATTGGGGTCACCTTTTGGTCTCCAGCGAGCAGAAGTGCACAAACTGACCCCTACGGCTAAATCTGGCTGGATGAAACCCCTCCAAAAATCTGGGAATCTACATAGTGCAGTAGGCTGAAGGTGCAGAGCGGCAAAGCTTTCTGGTGTGACCGTGGAGTGATGCTGAAGGTCATGAGTAGTCAGGAAGGTGTAGCTATTAGCTCCCCCTGCGGGCAGGTTAGACATCCTGCAAGTCCTTCTGGATGTCCCAGAGTGTGTTAGCGCTGGCCTGCAGCTGGGCCACCTCTTCATCTGTCAGGGTCATGTTGATCACGCTAGCCACACCCCCGCTGTTCAGCACGCAGGGCAGACTCAGATAGACCTCGTCACTGATCCCGTACATGCCCTGTTAATGACAAAGCACACTGTCTTTATGTGGAAGGGCTTAGCGTCATAACAAAGACTTGCTATAGAGGTCTAAAGAGGGGAACTATAGGGAAAGCAATTGTTTTTTAAATATTAAAATATGACATTACTGTGTATAGAACAGGGGTGTCGAACTCCAGGCCTCGAGGGCTGGTGTCCTGCAGGTTTTAGATATCACCCTGGGTCAACACACCTGAATCACATGATTAGTTCATTACCAGGTCTCTGGAGAACTTCAAGACATGTTGAGTAGGTCATTTGGCATTTAAATCAGCTGTGTTGGCTCAAGGACCCATCTAAAACCTGCAGGACACCAGCCCTCGAGGCCTGCAGTTCGACACCGCTGATCTAGTGCATCTACACATCATGAAATATATTACATATGTACTCACACAAGCTCAAAGGGGGTGGAGTTGAAATCTGAACACCCAACATGGAGCTTGAGCCCACGACCCTGAGATCAACAGTCTTATGCTCTAGCCCAGGGGTGGGGAACTCTGGGCCTCAAGGACCGGTGTCCTGCATGTTTTAGACGTGTCCGTGATCCAACACAGCTGATTTTAATGGTTAAATTACCTCCTCAACATGTCCGGTAATGAGGCCTAGTAATGAACTTATCATTTGATTCATGTGTGTTGACCCAGGGTGATATCTAAAACCTGCAGGACACAGGCCCTTGAGGCCTGGAGTTCCCCACCCTTGCTCTGGTGACTGAGGTTGCTGGGCTTCAACTCTAGAGAACGTGTCGACTGAACCTGCAAATGTTCTGCGTTTTTCCTTGAAACTTGCCTTTTGGAATATATAATGATTATCCAAACAGATGATTACATCTGATGATTCTTTTTTGGCTTAGTGTTTCACTCTTACTATCAGAAAAGTGGCTTGGGAAAAAAGAGCTTTATTTAACACAACTGGTAATTACACTCACACTTTATACATTTTGGATTCAAAATTCTAGTTAAAGTTATATTTTAAAGAATACTGGGAAATTCTTTAACGAGTACATGAACATGAGCGTCTGTTACCTCCACCATGGTGGAGACGGGATGAATCCTGTTCATGTTCCTTATGAGACTCTCTGTCAGGTCGGCTACGCTGAGACCGATGGCCCAGTTGGTGTAGCCTTTCAGTTTGATCACCTCATAGGCACTAAGAGATGTAAAACAAACAAACAAACAAAAACATGTCTAAAGTGTCTAAAATCATGAAAATTCACCGAGATTGATTAAGACAGCGACAGGTAACAGCTAAGGTAGCGATAGGTGATACGTCTGTGTCGTGTCTAAACGGTCAGCCATTGTATTGTGACGTGGTGTTGACTCGGTAAAGATGAGATCTACACTCATCTACACAATATTTTAAACTCGCTGATGTTGATCCAGCATGAAAGAAAGAGAGACTTTTAGCCTGAAGAATTTCAGAATTGAAGAGAAAGTTTGCAGATGAGCTTCCATGTTGGCCTTAGTTTGAAATCTGACCCATGTCAGGGTTTCCGACCAATAAGGTGCAGCTCTTTGCTGACAGTGCACATGTCCAGCATTGACTGTGACTGTGTTATCAACTTGCCCATCAGTGAACAGAGATATCGGCTCACCACTAGCAGGTGAGTTTAAAAAGATCATACTTTAAAATATTGTATCCATAAACTAGATTTAAGCGACCTCCAGCCTACCTGTCCACCACCTTCTTGTGAGTCTCTTTCCAGTTCTCGTCGTCGCTGTCAGTGCCGATATCAGGGTTTAACGTCTGCAGGCTGACTCCAGCCACGTTTGTTCCACTCCACACAGGCACTGTAACACATCTGGAAACCATCAACCTTCATGCACGTACACACCATACACAGTTATTGCCTACAGCATCCTCACCACTTGTGTCTCCATGCTCTCCCAGGATCCATCCGTTGAAGCTGCTCGGGTGGATTCCCAGTTTGTCAGCCATCAGGAAACGGAAGCGTGCCGAGTCCAAGTTGGTGCCGCTGCCGATGACACGGTGCTTTGGAAGCCCGCTCAGTTTCCAGGTCACATAAGTCAGTATATCGACTGTCAGAGAGAGGGAGAGATTTATAGTGTTAAAAGGTGAATACTGCAAGATTTCATGTCTGAGGACGTAAATAAAGAAGAGCTATGTGGTTGGCTGAACCTGGATTGGAAACAACAATGATGACGCAGTCAGGGCTGTATCTGACAATCTGGGGGACGATGTGCTTAAAGATGTTGACGTTTCTCTGAACGAGGTTCAGCCTGCTCTCCCCCTCCTGCTGACGGACTCCAGCGGTCACCACGACGATGCGGGAGTTAGCTGTAACCGAATAGTCTGAAATACAAATTTTAAAAAACAGATCAGTTTGGGTTCACATTCTCCTTCAAACCTTTGCAAAGGTGGGAAATTAAATTTAAACAGCTCCATAGTGAGCTGCACCCTGTAAATACTTTTTAAAGAGTTTTAATTAAAACTAAGGCTGCTTTATGAGATTGAGCTCCTGTGTGTTTGCATGTGTGTGTGTATGTGTGTTTGTCTGCGATATGAACTCGCCTTTATCTGCAACTATTTTGGGGGTTTTGAGGAAGAGGCTGCCATGCTGCAGGTCCATCATCTCTCCTTTCAGCTTATCCTCCACCACATCCACCAGCGCCAGCTCATCAGCCAGCTCCTGCACATATCAGACAAGGTCAAACCGATCCATAGTACAGTTTGCTTGTTGCCATTAGAACTAGTTGAAAAAAAGAACATAATAGAGAGCTTCAAGTGAGTCTGTTTTAAGCCTAATGGCTTAAATAATTGTTTTATGATGTATGATTCAGTCCAACGGTGAAACGGGTTATCTAATTTAAGTGAATGAAAATAAAACCTGAACAGCTTTAGGAGAACTCCACTGTAATCCTTCCTTTTTGATTACAAATACATGTTTCCTTGTTAACAAGTGCAGTAAAGGGATAACGGTCAGATCAGACACCAAGAGATCAGTAATCTCGTGGCAATCTTGGAAGAGCCTGAGTATGATCCCATCTCGTGACCCCAGCAGGCAGCGTGGTAATCTGAGAGGCAGAACCAGTGAGACTCTTACCCTGAGTAGGATGCTGAGAGCGCAGGCCATGCCAACCTGGCCCACACCCACCACTGTAACTTTATTCCTCGGAGGCTCAGGTGGACCACTGAACAGCGGTGTGATCAGTTTCTGCAGGACTGAAGCCATTTTCAGTGCTGAGAAGTGTAAATGAAAGAAGAAAGGGATGAGCGTTTAGGGTCAGGTGAAGCAGCAAAGCATTTTACACAGACACGACAGTAGCCAATGGTCCTGCGTGCAGCCTCGCATGCACACAACTCATAAATAAGTCAGAGTGCAGAGGGATTTCTAACGCAAGCCTGACATACAGTGGCATAGAAGAAAACCACTTCTCAGACACTTCGATCATTTACAGCAGTTTTCTCTTTTTTGAAATGGAACTGAAGGCAAAGGAAGGAGGGCAGGAAAAAGAAAAGGCTTCAAGGACAACTAGAGAGTGCATTATTTCCCTTTCTAGCAGGTATGAAGAAGGCGATCTGCTCTCAGACAGAAACGTATTAGGTCCTGTCTCACGCGTTCTCTATTTGCAGAGAGTTCACCTTGAAATGACATATGGCCAGACACAAAAACACCAGCAATACTTGCATTGTCCGATGAAGCTCCGAGCTGCAAGGTATAAATACCACCATGTAATCAGCATGGCCACCTGGATGGATGACTAAGTCGTGTTCCTACAGAGCTCTGTCCCCCCTCCTGCATCCACAACACCTCCCTGAGTCACAGTTTTTGCAATGCAGTCGGTCCAGGCAAGTATCCGCTCAGCTGCAGCAGTCCCACAGAGCTCATGTGACTCAGGGTTAGATGGAGGAGCTGTCAGCTGCACAGAGCTCCGCTCCTCACCTCCCTCCCTCCTTCCCAAACGAGGAGGACGTAGCAGTATAATCGGATGCCAAACTTGATTGACTGACTGCAGACTGTTAAAGGAGTTACTGTAATCCCTTAACGCTGCTTCCATCTGCTACACCTCACCTCTAATGGGAGGTCTCAAAAGAACAGCTGATTTCTATTTAAAAGGCTTGATAATTTATTCTAAATGAATGAAGGGACCTGCTTTATGTCTCTCTAAGCACAGTTTAAAACACTGGCCTGTAATGAATCTGAAATGATGCTGTTGTTAAACAACCATCAGATACGTTTAGAAATAATTAGATTAAAACCATGCACTGCAAATTGCAAATAATGTAAAGCAAGGGGCACTTATGCTTGAAGAGACAGACATTAACATCCCTGTGCGTCTCTAATAGCAGGCATGAATGCTGAATATGCTGCTATTGAAAGTGCAATGCTGAAACGATCCATTCATTATCCAAGACCGAAGCTGGATTACCAGCTGACAGCACCATGCACTCCAGTCATGTAAATGTGAGCGGTTAATGAGATGGCTTAGCATCCAAGGTCATTGGGGAGGGAAGGAGGGAGGGAGGGTGACAGCAGTTTTCATAACTCTCAGTCAACTGCAGTAGAAGCATGGTTGGTACTCCAACACAGTGAGGTAGTCGGCTGCGACGTCTGAAAAAAGTTACATCTGCCTTGAACTTGAACCTAAACAGCCACTGCGGGGGAGGATGAGATATAATGAATACATGATGACAAAACAAAGCAACAGGAAAGCCTAAAGCCCCAAACTCAGCTATAAAATTAATGTAATGCAGAATTTTAACTTCTAGCTAATTGCCCTGCTTATACATAAACTTTTCATTTGTGGTTGTGAAAACAAATCCCTTAAAAAAAAAATACTCTGCCACTGTAAACACAAGCAGACCCTACGTATATGTAAACTTAAATGTGACTCACAGTTCTGCACACACTGAAATGGACCACCCTAAAGTGAGAATGAAGAGAGGACTAATGCAAGCAAAACAAAGCCAAAGGCATTCAGGTGTCACAAACTGCTACACATATTTCAACAACAGAAAGATAAAATTATACTATCTACACAACACGGAAATACCGCAGTTCACCTGTTTTGTTGAGCGTCCAGGTATAACTCCTTGGGCTACAGTGAGACTCTCCTCTGTTGTGCTGTACGGTGTGGCTACTCTTCTTCCTGTTGTGCTGTCAGCCTGCAGTCTGCCGGATTTAATGGGCTAAGCCTCTCCGTCCCCTGCAAAGACTCAATTTGGCACTCCATCGGCCACCACAGTCAGCTGGTACATCATTCACTGACACTTCATGCAAAATAACAAAACATGACTACGTATTCCAAAAACATAAACCAAAAATAGAGCTGTTATTGTTGCGGACATTATTGTCACATTTACTTTACATATTCAGTCGGTGAATGAATGCCACATGCCGGTGACTCCAGCAGATTTGGTCTTGTGGCGTTTGTCCTTCTAGCCGGTCTTGGGTTGGAATTAGCAAAGTTAATAATTAACAAACAAAAAGCCCTGCGTTTTAGTGTCAGTACAACACTCACGCACTCTGATGGGCCTGCCTTTTACCTCACTATGTAAATATACTTAATATAAATTAGGTAATTTTGCCTTTATTTCCTGACTTTCAATTATCTTTAAAAACAAACAAACAAACAAACAAACTTATTTCAGCTTGTATTTTTCTTTAAACTGTTCCAAGAAATAGATGTGTGATTCAGCTGCAGGTGTGGACTGACCGAGCATTTGGACGCGGAGTCCTTTTTTACACGCTGCTGGATCTGAGTGTCATGAGGACACTTTGTCAAACACAAGCACACACACCAGTAAACCAGCAGGGGGATACAGTCTCATGCAGAAAAGATTCATAAAACACTGTGTGCAGTTCATGAGGGAAGGCATGAAATGCAGCAAAGTGCAAACGCATTCTTTCATCGCCTTTAAAAAGCCACCAGTGCACGTGCTGTCCTGGAGGCAGCAGTCCAAGCAGAGGTTCCCTGGACCTCCCTCTCTCCAGCCACTTCCTACATATCTTCTGGGGGAATATTGGGAGGTACCTAAACCAGCTGAGATGCATAATCTCTCCAGCTTGTCTTGGGTCTTCACCCAGTACCACGTGCATGAAACACCTTACCTATGAGGCTTTCTGTAGGCATCTTAGTGAGGCCCCTGAACTCAACTCCATGACCTACTACTCTATTGTCATGGAGGTGTCTGTGTGACTGAGTGATCTTGTCCTGGACAATTTGCTGCTTGTAGCGTCTCTTAAGGCAAATTGGTCCTGGGTGAGGGGCCTGACTAAGACCTTGACTTATAGACCAATGGTGCAGGTTACCTTACCCTGGGTAGGGTTACTGGGGCCATCCTGGAGCCTGGTCTGGAAGAGGCCCGCTGTCAAACAAATTAAAGCTAGCTTCTGAGAGCAATGAACACCATTTTTACTTCAGAGATTGTAATTGTCTCCATGAGTTTACAGTGATGACAACAGAAGCTACCATATCTGATTTCTTATTTAATATCACAACAAATGTTCAATAAATGAAAAGCTATGGCGTTCAAAAAAGAAAAACAAAACATGCATAAAACACTTATTGGTCTCAAAGGATTCACAGACAGAAGAAAAAAAAATAATCTAGCAACAACCAAGTTTATTTTATGATACACTGCCTACATTATCATAAATAAACAGATTCAGAATCCTTACCCACATAACCCCTGCCGTTTCTGTCCGTTGTGGGAGAGCTGCCTGATGATCAAATCACTTGAGTTAACTCAGCAAGGTTCAGATTAAGATACAGTATTACTTGCATGTATTGCTTTACAATATGCTATAAAAAGTTGAACACGCCACTTTAGAAAAATATCAAAATAGAAACAATCCCCGCCACCGAGAAATCTTCCAACATCCCCTCGAGTAAATGCATCCTTGCTTGTTACTCCAAGCGGATAAACGACCCCATTCGGAGAAACCTGGAGCGTCTTTACAATTTTGCCCAGGCGGAACTTGTGACAAAAATAAAATGAGGCTAACTGTTTGGAGAAAAAAAAAAAAAAAAGAGGAGAGGAAAAATTAAAAATAAAAAAATAAAAGGATTTACTTTCCTCCTCTTGGAAACACCTGCAGCCTGTGAGGTGGGCTATGTGGGTGCACGCTAAACAGCCAGCCCTGCATAAAGGACCGAAGGATCAGAAATCTTATAAAAACAGGACAAAAGAAAAAGCACAACAGAGCACTACAACTCAACGCGTAGAAACTCACATGAACTGGACTGGCAGGGATGGACGAAACCAGTAACCTGTGATCGCTGAATTCTTTATTTTCCTTATAATTTTCTGTTTGCAAGTCTTAAACGAAAATGTCGATGCAAGAGGCAGAAAGCAGAGTAAACTTTATAACCTCAACCTGCCAAGTGTAAAAATCGCTACAATACACAAAGCTGAGAATTAAAATTTAAGCCATGATCACAAATCCCGTTATGAGAGATCTTAGCAGTGATCAGCTATTTAAAAAAAGATTTAAAAAAAAAAAAAAAAAAAAAAGAGCTTCTAATTCATGCTTGAACGTGGGCCGATTTTCCTCATGCAGTGATGTGACCTGATTACACCACGCCTCCTCCCAACACAAACCACATGAAAAACGTTTGAGCTGAATCAACCTGAGCACCATAGAAATAAATCAAATATTCTACTTAACACTATAGCTGGAGAGAAAATGTTGAAATTGATACCAATGACGCACTGATTGTGAAAATTTGGCCTGACAGCGATGCTTACAGTGACAGTACGGCCTAAAGCTAATGCTGGCTTTTATTTATCTTGTTTTTATATTCCTCTTTTGTGGCAGGGAAACACATAAATCATCATCATATTAACTAAATATCATTTTATCAAACCATCTGTGAACATTTAGCACAAAACAGATGACACACAACAAATAACCCCTCCCCCAATGCCAATGAAATGTCATCATATTTGCCAATAAGCTGATCAGTTAACAAGGCCAGTAACAACCAACACCATTCGATACATGAGTGCATCCCTATTTGATAAAGAAACACGGGTGTAGACATTCTGGTGTTAGTATAAGCGCTGCTCTGTGCTTGGGGATAAAAAGAAAAAAGAAAATTATATATATGTAGATGTACGGGAGGGCACTAAGTGCTAATAGTGTCCAGGCACTTCACCGTCAGAAAACACCTGGCACACGGCGTCGGAAAAAAAACAAACTACAGTATGACCTTTAAAAACTACAACCATGCACGGATAAAAATGGCCTCTCCGTTCTGCACTCATTTCTACATATGAGGGTTATAATACACACAAAGACACAAACAATTCACAGATTAAAATCAACATTAAAATTAGTCTCTTCTGACTGCCACAAACAGTGTTATCCAGAAGCTACTGTTTGAATATACCTCCCTCTTGTGGCAGGAGGAAAGTCAGAGTCCAGAGAGGACAATTTTTAATCGTTCCAATTAAATCTGTCCACACATGGAGGAAAAGAGGTGAGCAAGGTTTACTGCTTGAGTTGTGGTGTGCTGTGGTGGGCGGCAGGGAGGTGCTGTGGATATGGCGAGGGGCTGCTGATGGTCTTTACTTGGGGATGCCCTCTGTGACACCGCTGCCGCTGATGCCCAGGTAGGTGGCGACTTTGTCCACGGCGCTTTGGACCGGGACGACGACGCTGTCAGAGAGGCCTTTGAGGGTATTGATCTGATCGGCGTCCAGGTTCTGGTAGACAAAGAACAGAGAAGCGCACACCACCACAAGGAGCAGGAGCTTGAGCAGCAGGGGCAGGAAGCTTCGTCGAACCGGCGCTGCGTTTGGGGAGACCGTGAAGCTCGGCCGGGACAGAGACTCAGAATACAAGTTGTATTCGGTGTGGACATCGGTCTTCACGCGGGACTCATCCAGCCAGTACTCACTTGGTTTTAAAGGCCGACCAGCTGCCCCTCTGATTGGACGCCTGCAGGTCGCACTGATAAAAAAAAAACCCCAAAAAACCCAAAACAAAAGCAGGAAAAATTTGATTAGACTGAAATTAAATAAATACATCTGTGCACTCAACAGTTTTCCCCACAGCTCGCGCTCACATATTACGATCTTTTCTGAGCAGATCAAAAGGATCTAGACCCAAATTTAAAGATTTTAAATATTTAACCTTGCCATTTAAAGAACTTCTTTTCTTTGCACAAAATAAAGCAACATTATCTTTTTGTGCTGTAATGTGAATTAATCTAGTTCCAAAAAAACAAAAAAAACCCCCCAAAAACTCTAGAGCAGGGGCATCTCAAACTCGCGGCCCACGTCACCCCTACTTGCATAATGCAATTTGGCCCTTGAAGTTATTTTTTGTTAGGGAGGATTTGTTTTTTTTTTATTGAGTGCAATGTTAAAATAAGTTCTTTAAAAAGCAAAAAACAAATATTCAATATGAAGGCCATATGAGCAGAGAGTACAAACATGTTGAGGGATTGGCTGTGTTAGTTCAGTGAGAGAGTATTTGTAAAGAAAACATTTTTTCACTAGCAATCAAAAACTAATGTGTACAGTTATGTCTGCATTTTACTTTTGCTAAATACGAACAAAACTGTAGCTGAAGCGCTGCCACGTATCTGGCCAGAAGGAGAATACCAATTTGTTTATTTAGTAGTTCAATAAAAGGCTGCTCTAGAGCATGAGGTGAATACTTCAAGTGTGAGCTGGGTTTTGAGAGGAACTGATTGAAGTTTTCTTCAATGGGAATTTTTATGAGTCTTTGTGACCAATATTGTCAGCACACAAAACAAAAATTCAGTATTTTCTTCAGTTGATTTTTTGTGTGTTCAGAAAAAAAACTTGTATAAGTTTTGGTATTTTATTAAAAGTGCTCCAAGTAGATGGAAAGAACTGCAAGTGATTTACAGCATTTCCCAGCCATTTTTAATGTCTTTGTTAGAGATGGACCGATCCGATATTACGTATCGGTCCGATACTGACCTAAATTACTGGATCGATATCGGAGAGAAATATCAGTAAATATCAAAAAGCACTTGCAACATGGCATAACTCGGCTCATAACCGTAGCACGTCGGAGCAGTATGCGTCACGTGATGGAGCGGCTGTGGGTGCGGGACCTGTCTGCGGTCAGGCTGAGCATTTGGAGCCTCGCTACCAAACCGGCATTTCATCTCTGAGAAAGTGATCCCAGAGAGAAGTAAAGCAAGTGTGTAAGTTCATCTCTGAATGTTTGTAAAGCATTCCAGCGTTAAGCTTAACAACAGATATATGGAGCGACTGCCTCTCTCCCTCCCTCTCCTGCTGCTACTTCAATCATGAAACTGATTAATGATCAGCTGATCGGCTTTTCTGTCGCGACTTTTCTTTCTTATTCTCATTTAAAATGTCTAGCTGTTACGATCCAATGTTGTCAGTGTTTTGTGTTGGGCGTGACTGTTATGTGTTTCCTGTTTTACTTTGAAGGTCTGTCTTATCTCAGTGTGTTCAGTTTACGCTTCCTTGTCTCGTCAGTTCTGATTTGCCCCAGCTGTGTTTCCCTCCTGTTGTTCATTCCCTGATTGCTCCCTCTATGTATTTAAGCCCTGTGTTTCAGTTTGTCATGGGTCGTGATCATTGTGATGTTGGTATTGTAGTTTTGTAAATAGCTGTAAATAGATTTGTAAAGTAGCAATTGAGTATTTTTTCCACCTTGTATATATTGTTCACTGTAGCAGCCTAGTAGGCGTGAGAAGCCATTTTTGTTGATTAAGTTTTCTCCTGTTTTTCATGTAGCGAGTTAGGTAAGGGAATTGTCTTTTGTTTGGTTTTCAGTTTGGGTAAGAAAGCATAGGGACCATTAGGGAGTTTTGTTTGTTATTTTTGGCACTGCTCACTGCTGAAGCAAATAAATGGCTGCTTAGCATTTTAAAAGAGATTGTCGTTTGTGTTCTTGCTTGGGTGGAGTGTGAGTGGGCCAATGTTTTGTTGCGTTCAAGACAGGCCTAGACCTAGAACGTAACATAAAGAACAGCGAAGACAGACGAAGGCTGAAGCGGTCATTCTTGTTTGGGTGGTGTGTGAGTGGGCCAACTTCTTGTTGCGTTCAATACTTGCCTAGACTAAGAACGTAACACTTTTAATAAATAATTATCTGAATCTTACACCCAAAGGTTTAATCTGATGTAAAATGTATAGAAGTCCATTACTGTATATAGTACCTATTAAGTCTAATATACCCTAGTAAGCTATAGTACTTTTTCCCTTTGGGAAGGTACCAGCTGTGCAGTCTGCAGTTCTGTTGAAGAAAGATGTTGAATCTATTTAAATATTGTAGAAAATAATTGATTTCTGTGGATTTTTTTTTTTTTTTTTCCCACACTGCATCAAATTAAAGTTGATTATGTCGATTAAGCATCATGAGGTGGAGGGTGGGGGTGGGGGGGGGGGGTTCCCTATTTTTTATTTTTTTTTGCTGGGAGTTTACAACCCTATTAGTTAAGTAGGTAAGTACTCCTTAAAATACCAGAATAGGAAAATGGAGTAGGTTTAAGTTTATTAGATTGATCATTATTGCTGAACTATGAAATATTTTGGGTGCAGTGTATTTCTTGCATACAGGTATAACAATAGCTTTAGTGGGTTTTTAAAACTTGAGTTTGAACTTATACAAAATGCAGCAAGATATTAAAAAAAAAAAAACAGTTTTATTGATTAAAAACACACTATATCGGATTCATATCGGTATCGGCCGATATCCAAATTTATGATATCGGTATTGGACATAAAAAAGTGGTATCGTGCCATCTCTAGTCTTTGTATGCTATGTTTAGCTTTTTTATGTAGTTTGGGTAAAGTGTCAAAGCCAAGCAGATTTTTAGTTTGAGCTAACAAATGTTGATCAGTTTTACTTACACACCTTGCAGATTACTGGCTTTGTGTTAGCATTACGTAGTAAACAGTAGGGCTGCTCGATTATGGCAAAAATGATAATCACGATTATTTTCACTGAAATTGAGATCACGATTATTTGACGATATTTATTTAACCCTTTAAGACCTACCATAGAACCAAGTCCGCCAGAGCTTATATTATTTTTTTGTATATGCTGTAGTGCCATTTGTGGGAGCATTTCAAGTTGCTATACATCAATACAACTGTTATAGCCCATATTTTAATAATATGTATGCATTAAGTCCATAGTAACTACATTAATTGCAAACAAGTGCAATAAATTACAAAAAAATTGAAAATCGTTTTTGTTTTGTTTACATATATTTCTACTTTGAGAAATTTAAGAGGTTTATCCCTCAAAACTTTAAATACAAAAAAGTTGCAAAAAATAGTTTACAACAACAGGAAATTTATTTTGAGTGTCTTCATAGTTTTATTTTGGAGATACAGCAATTTTTATATACTGCAGGAAAAACAAAAAACAATCCTATGATGCAAATTTGCAAAGAAAACAGCACGTGCATCAAAATAAACTATTTCCAGCTGTGCAATTCGAGTTCTAAGCATCCCAGCAACTATTCAGAAAAGTATAGAGTCAAACATGACTTATAAAAACACTAGTATTAGTATAGTATAGTTTTTTACTTAAGGCCTACAAGTAAAAAACTACATTTTCTGCAAAAATGACATCACTTCCGGTTTCGGGCAGGAAATGCGATAGTTCGAGTTGACATCTTTTTCAAAGTGGGAAGTGTTAGGAACAGCTGGTGGATCGGCAAAGCGTGTTTCTGGAATATTATGTTTTTGTTCCTGCAAGCGCTTTTTATGCAATTTTTGCAAAGCTTTATGTGGAAGGAAACCGTGACCGAGGACAAGCTGATGGCATAAGATGTAAGTACAACTCCTCCGGTTTCATATGCAAAACAAATTATTGCGCTAGCTTAGCGGTTCAGGTTCTACAGGGATTTAAAAATAGTTACGCAAAACGGAGTGTGCTGCTCTGACCGGCTTTAAAGGGTTAACAATAACAATGTATTGAATAATGACTTTAAAAAATAATATAAAATAGTGTGCAAATACTGATAACAGTGCAAATGTTTGCAATATAAGAAATAAATGAAAAATGTAAACATCTATGTTTAGTCAACTTTGCAGTGTTGCTCTGTGGTGCAGCTACTACATCGTAGCAAAGTTTACACACTGTCTACTTGATCCACGTCTAACTCCGCCAACCCATAATGTTTCCACACCACTGAAGTTTTTTTTTTTACCTCTTTTCAACCAACGGCAGTCACTCTCCTCTCCAAATAACTTCTGCTTAGCTTTCCGAGCTTCCCTCGGGTCCTCTTAATTGTTGTGACGCGTGTTCGAAATGGAGAGCGGTGCGCTTGACTTACCACACGGAGCAGCGCGAGAGTAAAGCATGAGGGAGGGTCTAATAATCGGCTCAGTCATTTTTAATGATCGTTGAAAGCCCAGATCGTAATCGTGATTAAAATTCGATTAATTGAGCAGCCCTAGTAAACAGACATAGTCACAGCCTTCTGTGTATTCCAAATTATAACAACTAGAGCTGGGCGATATGAGATTTTTTCATATCACGATATGTTTTTTTCATTTCAGGCGATAATGATATATATCACGATATAAGCCAAATAACTATATTTGTAAGATTTAAATGTGCCATTGCTCACAAGTAAAATGTGAAATAATCAGCAGCTTGTTTTTATTTAAATATTTATTTCCCATAATAAGTTCAACAGGGTAGATGTACTTAAGGAACATGAGACTTTTTCAGATAAATAAAGGCAAATATTGCAAACTACACAAAAGGCAGCCGCTAAAGCGTTTAAGTTTCAAAATAGAACAAACGAAACAGACTAAATTGTCAATTCCACTTAGAAACAAAATATTAATTCTAAAAATAAATCTTAGTTTGTTTTACAGAAGAACAGACAAAACTGACTAACTTTTGTCAATATCAAATAAACTGAGAACTAAAAGGAAATTCTCAATCTCTCCTTGTTGTATAGCTTAGCTTTTCAAACAGTTTTAACAGTTACTTTAGTCTGACAAAAGCCGAATGACGAATTAGCGCTTCCAGGCTAACTACGTCCACACGTACACGGGTATTTTTGAAAACGGAGATTTTCGGTTTTCGTTTTAAAAAATAATCCCGTCCACACATAAAGGCAGAAATGAAGGAAAACGCTGCTATGAACATGCCAAAGCAGCAGGTGGCGCTAGATTCCTAACCGTGCAGAAATGTTGGCCAATCAGAAGTCTAGAAGCCTCAGTGGGAAAAAGTAAACAAAGCTGCGGCATAGAAGCAGAACCGAGTTGTATGTGTGGACGGACAGTAACTGTGTGTATATGTAAGCATTTAAACACTGCAGAGAGTAGAATTAACAGTAACAGTATTGTAGAAATTCATTTCACAGAAACAATAACGTGGCGCGCAGTGTGACGCATGCACCAGTTTATTGTATTTCCACACTTGCTTTCGGAACAATTTACAGTGCAAGCTACTCTGTTTTTTGTCAGACTTGAAATAGCCGAAATACCTTCACACTACGGAACTTCTATGGCTCTTCCGTTCGACAATCTCTCCGGCATTGGAACCATCATCTGTTTTCTCTTCGGTCACGCTCGGTTGATTTTTCTAGTCGGCACACTCATTTCCTCCATTACCCGCTGGCTCCATTACCCGCTGGCTGCTTCCCAAACAAACACACGTGCGGCTTGGCACTTGTGCTGTACGTAACAAGTCACGCGACGTGACGCTGCGGCTGTGATTGGTTCAGCTCTGTGCTACTGAATTTGGATCGGCTGACCTTTTTGTTTTTGTTTTTTTAAGAGGACAAGAGCGGCGAGGTCTATCGCGATAGCTTAATTTCTCTATCGAGTAAAAGTTATATCGCGATACATATCGTTATCGTTCTATCGCCCAGCTCTAATAACAACCCATGTTTAGTTTTTTTTTTGGCTACCAAGAACAATTACACTTGCTGGAGTCTGCACTGTAGCACTGTCAAAAGCCCTCCGACTCTCTAACACATCACAGTAGTCGTGTTCTTTAATATTTCCAAATATCCGGTTCGCATGTTCCATACAACTGTCTCAAAACAAATAAAGACAAATAACATAAAACATGATTATCAGGTGTTACCTGATGCCGGTTGGTGTGCTTATTTCATTGGCAAGGATATCTTCAACCACACTCTCAGTGGCCTTTTTAGGGGTCTCTTCAGGAATTTCCTCCACCACCTGTCAGTGTAACATAAAACATGTTCACGCAAACTGAAACTATGCTGTAATTATAGTGGGGAGCGATGAAGGGAGATGAGCAGGTTAGTGAGGTATGCAGAGCTTGAAGTCAACATCTTTAGTGTTATGATTTCAGTGTTATTCTAGTGGCACTCTTTTTACCTAACTAGATGCTGATACTAAATAAAACTAACCACAACTCCTGGCCTGAAGCTGGTGAAGTTTTAGTTTAAAATTGACTTTAACCTCCTAGGACCTGGTGTCCACATATGTGGACATCACATTTTGGATTATTTAGACCAAAATACTCAATTTTGCTCTACAAGGGCCTGATATCCACTTACGAGGACATTATACTGATACTGTTCTACTAAACAATTGAAACAAATATCCTCATGTGGCTCTTATTTTTCTTAAAAACAAAAATAAGGTTAAAAAAAAAAATCTGGTAATTCTTTCTTTTTACATTTATCAGGCCCCAATATGCCCAAATATTTTATAGTGTCACATTTTTACTGAATATTTCCTTTTGCTGAGGAAATGTGTTACACATTCACCCTTTTGAGCTGAACATTGGGAATACCACCACATCGCACCCTGCAGTTAAACTGAAGCTGTGCAAACTCTGCGTGCTGCAGAGTGACGAGAACGTGCATGCATTCAGTTGGTGATGCAGAAAAACATCATCAACTGAATCCAGAGTGGGTCAAGTGACACATGAACTTATCTTTATGCTTGGTCTGTTTTACTCTGTGGGAATTGTTGTGAATAAGATGGGTTAGAAAAATATTAGTCTATTTGTTGGCTTTTTAGTAATCTATAATATTAAATAACTAAATCCACTTAAGACACTTTGCACTCTGAGACTGCCAATTATTATTACTGATGCAGAGCTGGTAGAGTGAGCCTCACCTTTGTCTGCCGTTTGCTGCTGGTTCTGACAGTGACAGGAGCTTTTCCTCTGCTCCTCACAGACTTCTCTACCACAGGAACTGGCTCTGGTTCAGGGGCAGGGACCTCCTCTGTGTGAAGATTGAAATGAGGGAACATCAATATCATGATGTGTATTTGTAATACCCATGGGATATTACAAATATGTATAATGTGTAATACTCATGGGCCTATTGCAACCAATTTGAAAACTTTTTCCTCGATGAAACCCCCAACCAACCAACACCCCCCCAAGGGCTCACCGTCTTCTTTGTCGCTGTACTGGTCGGAGTTTGTGTTGCCGTTCTGATTACTGTCTGCCTTGGGGAGAGTTGTGACAGTAGGAGCTTTGGGTTCAGCTGGAGGCTGGTCCAAAAGCTTCTGCAGCCTCTTCTCATACACCTTACGGGTAGAGGCTGAAAGGACACAGAGGATTAAAGGGGAAATAATTCATGCCTTTCATTAAACGTTTGCATAGTATTTGCCTTAGTTTTCTTTTCAGATTTACCGGTATCTTTGTATCATTTCATTTTCATTGTATGATTATGCAATGTTCTGCATAGTACAGATTTTTATAATTTTTTTGGACAATGGATTTGATTCTTATCATAAAACGTTTTGTGTTAGGTGTGCCTTGATGCATTGGTTAATCTGCCTGCATATTGTTTTTTTTCTATCATCTGGTTAAAATGCTCGCTGATTCACCGTACTGACTGGCTGTGGAGGCTCATCTGCACGTCTCCCTCTCCTCAAGCTTTTTTTCCTCAGTTGCTTTTTGCATTTTTCTTATTTATTATAAGTGGAGTGGGAGTTACCAGCAGTAACTAACAGTAGAAACAAACTTACTAAAAATGACTGTTTTCAGTTTTAGATTTGTTTAGTTCACTAATTTAGCCCAACTCTAATCTGTTTCTTTTCCCTGACCTCTCATCACCTTTGTATTTAATCATTGCAAGTAATTATGTTCATCTCACATAACTAATATATTAGGCTCCTTGTAGTCGTGGATTTAGCAACAATCCACGGCACAGTGTAACAAATGCACTGCCATTTTTATTTTTATAACTGGAAAACCCTTGACTAACTGTTTTGCTGTTACAAAAAATGGGTTTAAAAATATAATTTACCTTTAAAACAAACATATTCTCTTATGACAGCATAGGTCTTGACATTTATTGTTGGACTAGACTTGTTTTGACTACGGTGTTGTACATTTGTATAGTCTTGGGTTGGGTTGGAATTAGATCAAATCTTACACTAAAAAAAAAAAAAAAAAAAAAAAAAGAAGCCAGATTTTCCTGTTTCGACTGTGATTAGTATAAAAATATCACGCTATTCGTATCATTGTTTGATTCAGTTTTTAAAGGATTTATTGCGATTGCTTTTTTTCTTTTTTAAAATTTTCCTTTTTAAAAATATTTTTAATTTTTCTGTTTGTATCTGTGCTCTTGCCATCTTGATAAATTACATTTGTTTTATTTTGCATGTGTAGGACATGAATGAATGAATCCAGGGAACTCACCAACAATGGGTCCTACGTCCACACCATGCTTTGCCAGCTGCTGTTTTAAGTCTTCATCAGTCAGATCTGTCACCTCCACTTCCTCCGCGCGAGGCTTGTCTGTCTTTCTGGTAGCTTTCTGTAAAAAAGGTGAAAAAAAAGAAAAGAAGAAACATTAGTGTTGCAATTTTCGAAACATAAACCAGTCCAATCAGACGCGTGGAGACTGCCATCAAACCACAGGTGGGAAAAAATAAAAATAAAACCTAATTTTTAGCAATTAGAAACTTACCCTTCCGGAGCGACTTTTGTTTGACACCACCGGGGCAGGTAACTCTTCATCGCTGGAGAAGGTGTCTGCAGGTGGGGTCTTCTTGTTGTTCAGTACGGTCAGGTTCTTCAGATACAGCTGCACATACACTTCTTTTTTATGCTCTCCGCTCGGAAGGGGCACATTGTTTGCCGTAAGCTCGTTTTTCAGCTTGTCTTTCGTGAGAACTGACGGATCTTCGAGGAATTCTGCCATTCTAACTTTATTTTTATTGTTAAAAAATCTCTGAGCGATTTCCTTCGTGACTAACGGAAGCTAGTTCGCCGAGCCGCTACAAACAACACCGGGAACGTGACGGAATAGCGCTGTTGTCAAACAGAAGTGGCGCCTACCCGCTGCCAATTAAGCTAGCAGGACAGAAGCGGTTTATTAAGATAAACGCCCAATTCTTCTCGTTAGCCTATCGGTTCAACTATTTACAGATAGCTTTGATTTTTCGAAAACAGATAAGCGCGTTTGCTGTAAATGAAATCAGTGAAAAAAGCTAAATTAACTTAATGTAATTTGACTGAATTAGCTTAGCTTCAAACCGGTCCACTTGCTTCTGTCTGTCCGCGGTCGCAACAGGGCCAAACATCAAACAGCGCCGCTATTGGATGGAAGTCCTCAGTAAACTCTTCTCTGATTGGCTTGCTATGAATGGAACCTTGGCAGGCTGCCGCGACAAAGAAACCGAAGCTTTGTGGGTTTTGGAGAACAGCTTTACATTAAATCCCGTCGACGAAATTCGCATATTAGTTTCATTTTCAGGACTTTATTGATACTGGGATTTTATGAAGCGGCCAGATGCGAGTTTAAAACACTAATTTGATTCGCTGCAACAAGGAAAGAGATAACAATGTTACAATGGCAATAGCTGTTAAAAGCTTTCATACAGCTGCAGTTTCTATCCATCCCGTTTGCCACATGAATTTAGTCTAATCATTAGTAGTAAATAACTTGATTATCTGTAATAATATAGAGCCCCTACAGATTTTCATGCTACACATGGCAATGGGCGTATGTTCCACGATTTAGATGAAATCTGCCTCTGTAACAGAAGAGGGCAGCATAATGCCGCATAGTTTTTGAAAAGAAATCGGTTATCCAAGGCTTAATGCTGTTTATTATGAAGTCAGAAAGCAAGCAAACTTTATTAACGTTATAAATGCACAAATGCTGCTTTGCAGGGATAAGGCAAGCAGGTATAATTACTTGGCAACTTTCACAAGAATAATAAAAAAATATATTTAAAGAAAGAAAAAGAGCACTGAAAAAAAGCCAAGAATATGTTTTAAGACTTTTTTCCATGGATGTTTACCAAGGATCTGCATGATCATCAGATTTTAATCTATAAGCATGAATACTTTTGTAGACAGAAGGACAGCTTAAAAGATGAAAACATGCTTGCTATATTGCATTACAAGTTGCACATCTTTAGTTTTTTTATAGAGTGCTGGACAAATGGGGTCATCTACTAATTGGAAGGTTGGTGGTTTGATACCTTGCTGCTCCTTTATGTATGCCAGAGTATCCTTCGGTAAGATACTAAATTTTAAGTTGCTCTCTGATGCATCCATCAAACGATGAATGTGTGTGAATGTTAGGTAGAAAAGACATATAAAAAGTGCTTTTATGAATGGGTGAATGAGGCATGTTGTATAAAGCACTGTGAGTGCTCAAGTAAAGTAGAAAAGCATTTACCACTTGCAGAAATGAGACACCGGAAGTTGGGATGGATGTTTATTCGGTGGGATGGTAATTGTGCTAAAGTGACATTTCATTTCGCTGCACTGAATTGCTGAACAAACACGTGATGTTGGTGGTAATTCAAGAGTCTGGGAGAAGACAAATGTTGCCCAAACAATCTGTCAATTATTTTTAATGACCCCTTAACAGAAAATCACTAGGTGCGGATCTACGCACTCCCTCACAGACACGGCAGTGTTCGACTGCCTCCTCTTTGTCTTGGTCTCTGAACACTCTCCTCCTCCTCCTCCCCTCAGTGTGGGGACAGTGGTTTGAGGTGGCACTGTGTGGCTCCCCACCTGTCCTTCAGACCTGCCCCTCTGGGGCTTTTCTGGGATGCTGCTGCAGAAACCAAGCAATTGATCCCCACCTCAGCTCCAAACCACACTAAAATACAGCACTTGAAGTATAGTTCAGCTTTTCCATAGCGGATTTGCCAATGGAGTGTAAGCGTAAAAAATGTTGAGCCCTTGAGAAACACCTCTTAAGCTTTCTTTGTATGTAATTTATACAGAAAATAAGACTTGGGCCAAGAATCACAGAGAGTGCCTCTTTAAGCATAACAGTCATGGCCTCTGAAAAATGATCAAAGACTACTCTTTAATCGTCAACGTTCACATTTTCAGAATGAATTCATTTGAAATGGCCCTGCTCCACCTAATGTCGAGCAGTCAGTTTATTTGATGGCATTTCTTGACAGATGATTGTTAAATAAACTGACAGAACAAATGTAACAACTGGCTGAAGGAAGACAAAAAAACAATTTAGGTGAAAGCAAGAGCCAGCGGGCGGCTACCCCGAGAGAGAGAGTTGAATTGGCAATTGAAATATTAAATGTTGTGTTGTGTTTGGAAAAGACGGCACCTCTCAAATGAACTTAAATGCCAACATCCATGTTCTAAAAGAGGATTTCTGATCATTTAGAAAAATGTTGAACGCAGGCTCCTCGCTTGAGTTTATCTTGGATTTTAAGCATCTCTACATCCAAAATGAGCCAACCACAGAAGTACCTTAGGAAAAGTCAACCTTTACCACCCAGTCAATGTCTGATCCAATTCCACTGACACAACAAAACACATACTTGTGAAATTAATCGGTCTTACAAAGCTTCAGCATACTGTATGACAACAGACCTGTCACTTCCCGGGCGTAGAACTGCTGCATGGTCTAAATTTACGCAACAGGCGTGCATTCATTTCCCCCCCCCCCCCCCCCCGTCTAACAAGATTCACAAATTTTTACATAATGTGAAACATTTTGCAGTATCACGAAAAGCTAAAAACGGTCAGTTTTGCTGCACTAATCTATCACAACAATCTCTAATCCTCCAAGGATGTTATTACTTGCTGCCAAACTAATTAAGATCAAATCCTGGGCAGTTTCCTGTGCAAAAAGGAGGGTAGGATGCGGGCAGCAGCGTATTTCACCAGGGTTTTGTGTGTCCTGGCTTAGGAACAGCCATCTAGTAATGCTCACACAGTATATTTTCATCTGTTGACAATCTAAACTCTACTTAACGGACACACACTTAGTTGTAGACATTTCTGTCAGAAGGAAAAATGAGACTGCCCTTCTGGCCCTTGCTGATGCCCATTTGGCAGCCTGCCTGTTTGTATCAGGCGTACTCCTCCGTGTATTTGCATTCCTATTATGATTTAGGCTTTTTCCCGTTTTATTTGGCTATTGAGAGCAGAGACAAACTTGCTCATGTCCTCGCTGAACTTAAGGCAAACATAACTGTGTGTGAAATTTCAAGTAGTCATTGAAGATTTTCTATTAAGTCCCCACCGAGGCACTCATGTAGCTCATCTGGTGGAAAATTTAGTACAAGCCATCCACTTGCCTAAATAAAGGTTCAGCTCTTATCAGTCGGAGCAGTTGCTTGTGACACTGTACTGCTTTAGAGCTTTAATTCACTTCACAGTTTTGCTCATTGTCAATAAGCACATACAAAGGTTCAAAATGTTATTTTTTTACAAAATTAATTTATGAATGTTTCAGAGAGGTACTAAGAAATCAAACCAAACACCAAAGTCTTCCTTCTTGTTCTCTTTCAGTTTATTGATACAAAATTCTGGTGCACCTGATGCCCCATTTTTATTGAAATCAAATCAATTTTATTTATATAGTGCTTTAAAAAACAACAACTGTTGACCAAAGTACTGTGCAATAGAATAATCAGATAAAATTTAAAAGGAAAGTAAAATAAAAGATAAGAAAATAATAAGAATAAAATAATGACAGACTCATACAGAATTAAAAGCCAAGGAGTAAAAATGGATCTTAAAACGAGTTTTAAAAGTATCCAGTGTTGGAGAGGTCCTGATGTGTAAAGGCAGTTTATTCCACAGTTTCGGAGCAGTCACAGCAAAAGCCCGATTGACTGAAAAATGAGATGAAATACAAGTAGACAAGCATCAAAGAAGAAAAGAAAACACATTTAACGCCCTATCCCTCTTATCACTGAGCAATCTGCTCAAATCCTGTAGTTCAGTAGTTCAGAGGTGTCAAACATAAGGCCCGGAGGGGCAGAATTGGCCCACCGAAGACTCCAATCCCGGAGGGCGTGTAGACTTCTGACTTATAGTTTTACAGTTTTTCCTACTGATAAGGTTTCCGAAGGTTGATTCTGTTCATCTGGACGTGACGTTTTCAGTGGGAGAAACGTTTCGTCACTCATCCAAGTGACTTCTTCAGTCTCAGCTGACTGCAGGTTTCCCCAACCTTATAAACAGTACGTTTGCATAAGAATTGAAACTAGCACCACTGAAGGAACAATGGGCTGGGAGGTCAGTTCCTTCATCATAATTATGCAAATTCTCATGACCATTGCTCAACAACCACTGATCAAAGGCCATGAGTACCATTCACAGAGAGTTGGGGAATGGCTGCAATCACAGCATTGCACTGATAAAGTTGTCCTCCATGACCATTTAAACGGCATTAAATGAACTAAGTAACATTTAAATGATAGAAAAGCTCCTGTATTTACTTACAATAGAAATTAAAAATAACATTTCCTGTCAATTAACAAAAAACTTGTCTGTAATTTTACACATCTATGTCAGATTCCCTCCATTAACCACAACAGCATTTCTCTGTAATGTAGAAAAACTGAGACGTGCTTTTGAAATTGTGCCTCTTTTCTTAATTATCTCAGGGATTCAATGTGTAATTAATCTTCTTTACACTGACAGCAAGTGGAGTTTCACTTTTCTGGAATGGCTTGAACTTGTTGTCAAAGAAAGCTGCATCTGGACCACAATGTAAAATGAGTAACATCCCTTCTGGAGTCCATCACTAAGGTTATGTTAGATTCTCTCCAGGTGATGGGTATCAGTCAGCGTTGTTATCCTTGATTAAAAGTCAGCACTTCCTTGATACTATTGTTTTAGCAGTACTAATGTTTCTTCAGATAATAACTTCAGGAACAAACAAAGGAGTGTGTGTGTACATTTGCAAAAGTGACAGAAAAAAAAATCCTACAAAATCCTAATGTTTCTCTGTATCTGCTGTCGTGAAGAGAAACTGTTTGAACAGTCTGCAAACTAGTTATCCAGATCAAAGTTGCTATGCTGTTTTCACAGTTTGTCTCTGCTACTCTCAGTTGGCTAAATATATTACTAATGCAAGTTATAGGAGGGCAATCACTTTTGAGAGTCTCAGCAAGAATCCACTGCTATTTGATACCAAATGTCACAAAAGTTAATGTCAGACAAAAAAAAAAACACGTTGGAGACAGTTACCAGGTTACCAGTTACCAGGTCACTCGCAGCTTGTCTAAGGTTAGAGTGGAGTGAATTTTAAGAAACTAGAAGATTTTGCTTTTGAAATCAAGTCTTAAAAT